AGAACATGCTATATCATGTTTAGGTGGAAACTAGCGAGCTAACTTTCTGCTAAATTTTTTAAATTCTTTTCTTTTTCTTATTGCCTTCGTAACTTGAATTTTTCATTAAATGGGGTATTCGTAAGTTGGGGTTCCACTGTATTTTGATTTTTCTTAACCTGATAACGTCTTGATGCATTCTCAATCATCCAGGAAAGTAAATCTCCAAAAGTTGATTCTGTTCATCTCGACGTAGCGTTTTTTGTGGGAGAAACGTTTTGTCACTCATCCAAGTGACTTCTTCAGTCACAAGTTGAACAGATTCAACTTTTGGAGATTAACCTGATAACATGTTTGTCTGCACCAAGAGCTCTGTTTTTGTGAATGGGGATCCTTCACCTTTCATTGTTTGTCATAAATAAATTAGCAGACACATTAATAGGGCTTTGGAGCGTGATGTCACGGGAGGTGGGCCACGCCCCCTTCCACCATGACAGTAGGCCAGACAAAGGATACAGCTTCAGCTATGGTTCGTACGTGTTGAGTTGTCGGTTGCAACGTTAGATCACACGATCGTGAAGGCAAGAAGCTGTATCCTTCTCTCTTTTCATCGTTTTCCATCCTGGAGGCAACGTGAGGGATCCCATGTATCCGATATTACTAAACAAAGATGTCAGGCTTGGATTGCAGTGGTGAGATAAGTAGATATCGAGTTCTCTGCAATCCCCAGCTTTTTGTTGGTTTGCTCGCGGCATTTTCTTTCTGGTGAGTTCTAAATTAATTCATATAACTCTTAAAATGCTTTTAGTGTTATTTTCAATGCGCTGAGGTCATAGATAATGAGATAAAACATGCTAATGTGTGATGTTGCAGAACCATGTCATGTCGACTGGCATTATTGCAGGCAAACCAGCATATGAAATGGATGTAACAAATCCAGACTGGGCACCAACACTGCACATGGGGCACGATGACATACCTGTATCAGACTCGGACCGGCACAGAAGGCGTATGCAATGGAAGCAAAAAAGAGCACCCATCGGAGGTACCCCCCCCCAAAAAAACATGCTAAATTGCTATCAGTGTACACTAATCCGCGCATAACTTCCAGATGAATCATACATCCGTCATTGGAATATTGGTGTACATTTACCTTATGGTGTATGCACTAATTTTATCTTACAGGCTTTTGTTATGCAGCTGCAGAGTCTGAAGGTGTGCCCTGTGCAGAAGTGATCGATGAAGATCTGACAGAAGACCAACAACAAAATCACAATGTCATGGAGGCAGTGGACAGCAGTTGTGTTGGACAAGTGGAGGTTGAGGTACCAGCTGCAAATGTGGACAGTGGTGATCGGACAGACAGCGTCACAGAAGCTAAAGGGCAGACGAAGGATTGTGTGTGCAATGAACAGGGCAGAGCAGAAATAAACCGGCTGTTGGAGAACAGACTGCTTCGAACACAGTTGCAAAAGACAGAGCTGAATAAACATTTCTTAAAGGATGATACTGAAAAAGTAAGATATTACACTGGACTACATTGTTATGCTGTCTTAATGTCCCTCTTCAACACTGTCAAAGATTTCCTGCCAATATCGAAGAAACTGACAGGTTTCCTAATGCTCTTAATCACACTAATGCGTCTGAGACTTGATCTTCCAGTCCAGCATCTTTGTCATCTATTCGATGTGTCCCACAAAACACTGTCGTCTGTCTTCACCGATACCATTGATGTTTTGTATGCCCGCTTAGGAGCACTGGTGCACTGGCCTGAGAGGCACTGTCTGCAGGCCACAATGCCTCCACAGTTTACTGAAACTTCTGGAAAATGAGTAGCCATCATTGTTGACTGTTTTGAGATTCGAACAGAAAGGCCATCTAATTTAAAGGCACGTGCACAAACATACTCTCATTATAAAGGTACACACACCATAAATACCTCATCGGGATTACACCCCATGGAGCTATTTCTTTCATTTCCAGGGGATGGGGGGGGTGCATCAGATAAGTCACAGAGAAATGTGGCATTCTTCAAAAGCTGTTACCTGAGAATTCACGTTGAGCGAGTAATAGGTAGTTTGCGCAACAAGTTCAAAATGCTACACATTACAATGCCAATCCGATTACTCGTATCATGTGAGGGTAAAGACACAACACTGCTTGATAAGATTGTTAAGGTTTGCTGTGTTTTGGTGAATATGTGCCCCAGTGTGGTTGTCAAACCAGGGCCAAATGAAACTTGCTCTTGTTGAATATTCATAAAGCTGTTGTGTTGCATGTGTAGTTCATTGTAAATAATTGTACTTTGTGTGAAGTAGTTTCAATAAAACAGAAAAGAATAGTATATTTGTTTTTGTTTTTTATTCTTGATCTGTTCACATGTACTTAGCAAGTAAATAAAAATGAAATGCAAACTATTTACATGGCAACGCACAGCTGGCATCAATCTTGAACCACAAAATGAAACATTACAGGCTATTTAGAGCAACACGTTGTTTGGAGAAGTATTTCCCAACAAGTTCAGGAAGGCACACTTTAAGAAAGAAGTCTTGTGCTTGCTTTAAACGCGGTTCCCAGAAATCCACATCAGGGAAGATGCGTATCACAGCAAGGTCTCTCTGTGTCCACACAACGAGGTCACAGTGGTCGGCTGGGTTTCCACTCCACTTCCTTTTTTCATACGGGTCCACATTACCGATGCATCACAGCGTCTGGGCCCAATCGGTCGCGATACAGCCCTTTGTCCTTTGCGCTGATTTTGAGCATGGTTCTGGCAGTCCCGATTCCAACACTCCAACACTGTGTGCTTGTTTTGCTTTCTGGCCTACTGACATGGCGCCGCAGTCCCACAATGCACTGCGGCATGACGTCAACTCCAAAGCCCTATACAGTGTTTCAGATTGGGAGCAGCACAAGGAAGCAAGTTCAGGGAGATGCATGTTGCGGGGTAATGGAGGCTGTCAGGGCAGGCCCTTGTGTGCTTCACCTGTGTGTGTGTGTATACATATCTGTTTGAGCTTGTGAGTGTCCTTGCTTCACAAAAAAAATCAATCTCAATTATGGGTGCTGGCATGCTCGCCGACTGCAGGTGTGCGTGTGTGTTTGTAGCCATGTGTGTTCATGTCGTTTTTCTAGCACTTCGACAGTTATTAGCACCATATGAGTGTGTGGTAGTGTGTCTGTGTGACACCCAAGACTAATTACATTAGTGCCAATTAGCAATGCAGAGAGCTGATAAAAATCTCGCTACATGTATTAATTATCTCAAACCTCAGCGGGTCATACGTGATTAAAGAGGAAATGATGTTTAGTTGGGGCACTAATAGTTCATTTGCATTTACACTGAGGATATTTAGTGATATTTATTCGTCTTTACAGTAGCATGTGCAGAGAGAGCTTTTTTTGTCACATTTCTTAAACTAGATATGGATCATTTACATGCAGCTCTGTAGCTTTCATTGCCTCCAGATACAAGGTTTACTGATTTGTCTTTTCTGGCATTACTTTGATCTTTCTTGACTTAATTTGTAGCTTTGGCTGTTTAACATTCCACACATAGCTGCTATTCTTCAGTTTAACCCTGAAGCAGTGAAAACTTTCACTTGACAAATACTTAACATGTAGTTGCTTTGACACGAAGAAGTTTAAAAAGTTTCAAAGAGTTAGATGGTGTCTTTTTTAATATGAAATTTGGGGTTTTTCACATCCAATCCTTGCTTTATTGGACCAGGTCAAAGTACGTAGTATTCTTTAGTTAAGGTGTGAAATAAGACTATGAATTAGTGTATAGTGTTTGGATTTCTGGGGGATATATTCTATGTAAAAGTTTAATGAGCAACAGAGTTTTAAGCCTTTAAGGGTTCAAAAGGTAAATGTTTAGAGGCATGTTTAGAGCTGATGGAGAGTGGGCAGATAGGACTGACTAGACTGATGTAAGCTCTATTAGATTATAAGTTACTAACTTGATTTTGTTTACTGTAAAGTCAATATATATGTTTTTCAGCTTTAATGATGGTGGATGTATTGTGCCAAAATGAAATTCAATGCACAGTAAATTGTTTTGCCATATTGTGTTTGTAGCTGCTGGGAGTGAACCAGAGTGCACTAACTGTGGATAAAATGTACCTGTGGGGGCATCACAGGTGATGCTTGATGAGGACGATGGTCTCATCTTAAGTAGCAGCAGGTGGGGCAGTCAGTGATGATGGATGGATAGTGAGTAATCATCCGCGACAGGTGAGAACGTTCCACAGATGAACACAGAGGCGGGAACCAAGGCCAGACTCCGTCCTGGAGATGAGGAGCGAAGGAGAGGCCACAACAAACAGTCCAGGAAACCCTGGGTCCGTGACACGAAGGCCTCTGATACATATTCACTGATGTCTTATTAGCTGGTTCTAGCTTTCTTTTCCTTTTATACCAACTCATTGAGGAATTTACACTGGATTTGAAAAGACCCTGGAACCAAGGAATATGTGGGGCTTTTCAGATTGTATCTCGGCACTGAGATTTTCTCTCTATTGAATCTCTTGCTTGAGGTGGACATCCACTGACTCATCCTTTCTTTATAGCTGCATAGCTGCCCTCTTTGTGTGATCTAGACATTGTTCCAATACACACAGGAACACAAAGCCTCTTTCTAATCTCCTGGGATATGTAAGCAGTAAATCTTTGAAAGGCTGCAGAGGTATGGCAGTGTGCCATATCTGTATGTAAGAGCTGTTAAAAAGATGCAGATTTAGTGAAAAATCCCCATGTAAGATCTGCAATTACATTTTATGTTTTAGAACACTTTCAGTAGTTTTTGCATTAATTATTCCAAGGCCGTTGAACCATGAACCCTTTTTTCACCCATCTACAATTTTGGCAAGAAATACTGGAAATATTTTACTTGTTGCATCTCTCTTTAACCTGGTCTTACGGTATAATATGTGTTGTTTGTGCTGTGATAGAGTCCAAAATAAAGGAAAGCAAGTATCTTATTGTGTCTTAGCCTTTTTAACAGCCTTTAAACCTCATCTGTGAAATAGGCATTAAAAAGGCTAAAGTGCGATTTCATCGTAGGTCCTCCAGCTTTGCAGACACCAGTGTTAAATCTTAACTTCATTTTACATTCATTTAGTTCGTTTTTGTTTGTTTGTTTGTTTGTTTGTTTTAAACTTTTGCTGATGGCAAACTGTATCAGCAGTTTTGAGGCAGTTGAGGTAATTTTATGAAGTTTTATTCATTAACTCAGTGGTTTAAAATCATGGACCCGCGAGGTCATGATACCCACAGTTTTAACATTTGAGTTTTCTGACTATCCTGTAATTTTCTCTGAATGACAAAACCTTTCACCAAATATCCACCACCTCCAATAGTAAAGTGACTTTCCTCTGCTCCCTTATTCACACAGGGTCACCAGAGCAGGTAGCTCTGAATGATTGTTCTGACAGATTTTAAGACTAGATGGCTTAAGACCTTTCCTTTGAACCCCCCACGGGATTTGAGTCTCCTCCCGACATCTGTTGCATGTTAACAGAATGTATAAAACACTATAGAGCCATTCACCTTAAAAAAATGAATGATTTACATTATTACTTATTTTGTGAATCTCTTCATTTTGACTGTGTGAATGGATTTTTATGCTCCCCTATGATTAGTATGTGTACATAAGCATACACTACAAATAGAAGAAGTTCCTATCCATCTTACACTTCTTATTTGTTTCTCACAGTGAACTTGTGGTGTTCTCAGAAAGTAAAATAAAAATACCAAAGTATTTTCTTGTCTTTTTTCTTTAATTAAGTTGCCAAGGTTGCCATTGACGGAGTTGTTTTCACAGTGAAAGTGTTGAGATGCCTCACAAGGTGAAGGGAAAAGAAGTTAAACTCAGACATGAAGACAGAGAGGGGAAACAGCTGTATTGAAATGAAATACAGGGTCGTGTTGAAATGAAAAAATGCATTTCAATACAACCCTTTTAAATCTAAAAAGAAATAGAAAAAAATGCACCA